GAAAACTCCCATGGCCTTCGATGGAGCCGTAATTCCATGCAAGTTGCAGTACTTACTTCCAGAGTTGGTCCTACTGGAATTAATGATCTACACCAGTGGTCTCCAACCTCTTTGAACAGGAGATCACTTTTTGAATTAAAAAGCAACCCAGGTTCTACCACACACCACCACCCCTCCCCCCAGCAGGTCAGTCTGTGGGGAGGCAGATAGAGGTGGAGGAAGAAAAAGTTATTTGGAGGCACCCCCCCACCGCAGAAGGTAAGTCTGTGGAGGAAGGGGTGGGGAGGAGGGGGGCCCAGATTGAGGCCCCAGCAGTGAGGGAGGGAGCAGGACACAGGTAGGAGCAGGGGCTGGGGTGATTGGGGCCCTGTGTCCCCCGGGCCCCCGCTTATCCCACCACCTGGCCCTGCACAGCTGGGGCATAGGATGGAGTTGTGAGTGGCTGGGCCAGGTGGTACCCAGTGTGGGGAGGGGATGGTGGCTCCTGCCACTGCATGCACGCCAGGAGGGCATGGGTGCTGTGTGCTTGGGATCTGCGTGGGGCAGGCTGCTGCTGTGGGTTGGGGGGCTGCCGCAGGCTCTTCCCAGCACAGGGGTTGGGTCATGCCGTGCTCCAGGCAGGCGGTGGCAGCACTGGGAGGGTAGGCTAGGGGGACTATGGCAAATTTTGGGGCGACTCCAGGCCCCCCCCACCGCCGTAGCCCCAGCTCGGGGCCACTGCTGCCCTGAGTGCAGCCTGGCCCAACACTCCTGCCAGGAAGAGCCCAGCACCGCCCCAGCCCACAGCAGCAGCCCACCTTCACTCTGCACAGATCTAAGGGCACATACTCACCATGCCCTCCCAAGGTGCATGCCCCCTTCTCCCAGCACCTCTCCGGATGAGCTACTAGTGGCTCCGTCCCACACCCTGCCCCAGCTGTGCAGTGCCTGCCCCACCCTCAGCCCCACTCCCTCCCACACTGCTGCATGTGTGCCCCTCCCTGCCCCTGCTATAGCTGCCCACACTGCCCCAAATTTGGGGGGGGCACATGCCCCCCTGATCTGTGTGTGGGGCAGAGGTGGCTGCCACTGCACATTGGGCTTAGCACCCCAAACCCCACTGCAGCTGGCTCAAGAGCAACCTGATGCCACATGTGTTCTGCTGCTGGGCTGAGCTGCACCCCCGCCCACCCAGCAATGGGATGCACATGGTGTTGGGCCACTCCTGGGCCAGCTGCAGCAGGGCTCAGGGCACAAAGTGCAGTGTGCAGCAGCAGCAGCTATCTCCACCCCATGCACAGATGAGGGGGCATGTGCCCCTTGGGCCTCTGCTGGGGTATGCAGTGGTGGGAGTCCCCCATGCCCCTGGACAAGCCACCTGGGCTCTCATCCTCCTACTACCCAGCCCACCCAGGGCCCCACTCACCTTAGCCCCTGCTCCTGCCTGTGCCACCCTCCATCCCTCAACATGGGGATCTCAATCTGGCCCCCACCTCCTCCTTCCCCCACAGATTGCATGTGCTCAGCCCCACCCCAGATCAACTGGAAGAAGCTCTGTGATCGACCAGTCAATTGGTGACCACCAATCTGCACCTAATAAAAAGAGCTTGCAGATTCGAGACTTTACTTTTCTGTTGTGCCTTTCATTTGAGTGAATGCTATTTGCAGAAAATGAAAACTGCCAAGTTTATATAATATTTCAAACAACAATTTTTATGTTGTTTAAGACCATAGATTTCAAAATAAAAATCTATATTTATCATTAACACATTTTTTATTTTTCACCTTTCTGTCCATTTAGACAGTAAAAGTATCACTTATGCTTCTAGCAACTATGCTACTTTTTTAATGTACTGAAAACATTAAAATGTTTGAGTTTTGTCTTGGGTGCAAGTGAAACACACAATGGTATTCAAAGAGCAGAGTTCACAGCTCAGAATGCTTTCCATAAGAGACCATTCAGAAATTCCTAAAATTTTTCAAATTTCAGTTTGGGATTTTTAGTCCCCAAGTTCAATAGCACTTGGTTTCAAGTTTTTCATGCTGCCCATTATGGATCTGTGTTGTTAGTTTGAGCCGATTTCAAGTTACAATCAATGCAAATAAAGACAAACTGTACAGAGAGCCTGTTTCTGCTTGAATGTTTAATGTTCCTGGATACCTAAGTGTCCTGGAACCAATGCCTGAGATTCATGTATACTTTTGTATATGCCTTCATGTAGTCTGCTCACAATTACTATGTGTATAGAAGGCTTATTTGTAGCTATACTTATGCCCACAAAGATAAGCGCACAAGAAACTTGCACATTAGAAGGCATGAAATTCTTGGCTTTAGGTTTATGAAAATCAGTACTTTACTATTTAATAAGGTTTATTATAAAAATAGCAAATTGTCTTTTGTTTTCTGAAAATCCATTATTCATTCATTTCTGATTAAATACAATTTTTGCATCAAGAGCCCTTCCATGAACATTTCCAGAGTTTCAAAAATAAGTTACATGTATACTGATAGTTTAAGGGTATTGTTGATTTATAAGACCACTAGAAAAGGGAAATTTCCCACCTTCGTATGTGGCTGTACTGGTAATTCAAATAAATGTGGCTATATCCACTAACCATGTATGAGCGAGTATAATGGGTCTCTTGCTCCAGGGGTGCCCCCTGGGGGCCCCTTTGCATTGCTCTAGCCCTGGGGTGCTCTGCCACTTTTGTTCACCCATCATGCCTAGATGCAATTATTTTGTTGCAAGAGAGGCTGCCTTATAGATCCCAGGGCTAGCCCCAGTTCCTCTAGGTGCCAGTTGGCTCTTCTGAGGCACCAGTTTTACCATATGTGGCACCATCCACCTCTTTACAAAATGCCCATGCCTCACAGGGCAGCTCCCACCTCTGCACATACCCTGGTGGAGGCCTGGGGGGCATGTGCCCCCCTGATCTGTGCGTGGAGCAGAGGCAGCTGCTGCTGCAGGCTGGACTCTGCACCCCACTGCCTCAAGAGGTGCACAACACCATGTGCCTGCTGCTGCTGGGTGGGCAGGGGACGGACACACACACAGAAGCAGACACAGACGCACTTACCTCCCACAGCAGGTACGTGTGTGGGGGAGAGGGAAAGGTCTGGGGATGGTAGTTCAAGAACCCCACAGTGCAGGAGGGAATGAATGGGGCAGGGGTGAATGGGGCCTGGGTTGGGCCGTGGGACAAATGAAAGCCCGGTGGCACATCCGGGGCATTGGGGGAGGGAGGCGGAATACCACTGATGCGTGCACCGCTGGGGAGCCAAGGGTGGAGGGGCGCACGCCCTCCCTGATCTGTGCATAAGGTGAGGGTGGACTGGGCTCTGCTCTGCCTCTGCACCCCACTGCCACTGCTTCAAGAGCGGTGAGATGCCATGTGCACCCCGCTGCTGGGTGGCTGCCCACCCAGTGAAGGTGTGCACATGGCTGTTGCACCACTCTCAAAGCAAGCAGTGGCAGTGACCTGCAGAGGGTCTGAATGGTGGGAAGAGGGGGGAGGGAGTGTGTTTCTGTGCCTGCTCCCAGAGACAGGGCCAGGAGGGGGGCAAGGGCAGTGGTACTCCTCTGCCGGCTGCACAGGTGCAGCCCAGCCGGCTGGACATGGGGGGGCCAGGAAAGGGGGCTTGCATGTGGTGGCCACTGCTGCCACCCACCGCCACTTTTGAACATTATTGGTGCAACCCATTGCCCTGTGCTACTGCCGCTGCCACCCACCACTCTGTACTGCCACTGCTGACACCCACCACCCCCTGCTGCCTCCACCATGGAGCTGCACATGCAACTGGACATGAGAAAGTGGGATGGAGCAGTGGCGGTGGCTGCCACATGCAGCCCCCCACCTCTCCCCGCCGGGCCGTGTGGTGCCTGTGCAGCCCACAGAAGGGCACTGTTGCCCTTGCCCCCCCCACCAAGCCCTGCTCTTGAGAATGGGCACATAACCATTGAGGCCCTCATGGCTCTGCAGGAAGGAGGTGGCCGCAGCGCCTCCTCACCATCAGCTATTGGCTGAAGGCAGTGGCCCACAGCTAATCAGGACAGCGAGCTGAGGTGGGGGGGAGGGGGGCAGGGAGGCACTGCAATGTCCTGCATGGGCTCAGCAGTGCCTAGCACACCCCTCTTCCTCCCACAGGCAGGAAGCAAGGGGTGGAAACATGGTGGGAGATACGCCACTACCATGCCTCAGGGCACGCTCTGTCCCCGTCCGCCTGCGTATACCCCCTATGACCTTTCTAAGTACCCCTAGGGGTACACATACCCCTGGTTGACAACTGCTATCCTAATGGATAGTGGCTTATCTAATATTAATTATGAAAGACAATAGATGGATTAAAGAGCTTCTCTTTGTAATAAG